CGCGGAGACCCAGCTTCAACTTGGAATTGCATTTGGCGCGCGAATTTGGTGCGCGTGAGTGTGTCTTAGTTATTCAAACGCAGCACCAGCTCAATACCTAAGGCTTGTGGTATGAAATGCTTTCTACCAAGGCTGGCTCCCATCGAGGAAAGCAGACCTCTTCTCCCATCCTGCTATTTGCGGGCTACCAAGCTGACATCTTCCTCCGATCCGTCCTCTACCTACTCTTCGTTCATAGTGCGCGTTCTTCTGCTCTTTATCTGTCTACGAGTATAGGTGCTGAAGTTGCAGTTGTGCATGCTTGTGTGGACAAACAATCGGATGACTCTAGCTACAAGATGACCGAGATCGACCGGCTGCTAAACTTCGTTGAAGTGTATATCCCGCTTGACAAGGCCAATTGAGAGCGTGGGGTTTTACATGCTACGCGAGCGCGTGGGTGGCCCGCCTGCGACTTCGAAAGCATTCGGCGCAGGTATAAAATGCTGAACAGCATGCGGAAGCCGGTGGGTGTGTCAGAAATGTCACCTCACACCCAGCGAGTTTAGGACCATTGACGAGAAGGCCAACGTGGTCGTCTTAGACGACGGCGTCGACGACAACCAGCAGCCTGCGTTTTGCTTCGACTTTGACCCCGGCAAGGACCAATTTGCTGGAGACAGCGCCGCCATCCGTGAGGTCCAGCTCCACCGACGATGTGGCTGGAGGCGGTCTTGGTCAGTCCGCCGCAGTTGGTGCTGGTCAGCCTGGGGATCCACATCAACTGGCTTCAAGCCAACAGTCATGTCGCGTTGTGCTCTGAAATCTCCTTACGTCGCTGTTTGTCAATGAAGGCCGCGCAGCATTTCCTGAAGCTCCACGACCTCCGCCATTGCCACGATCCTTGCCCGCTACAGAGGAGAGATCTATCAGCTGGTGTCAGCATCGACTACCCGGTCTTCAAGCAGAAGCCGAAACGGCTCCGACTGGTCGCACTACCAGATCTCCTCCTATCGACTTGTGGACCTCGCTACACCGTGGGTGACAAGCGCGCCTTGAACGGCGATAAGAAGCTCTCGAAGGCTAGCTACGCCAAGTCGAAGCGCATTCACGCCACCAGGACTACTGCACTGAAGTAGAAGCTTGAAGGCGTCGAGTCGCCCGCCAACTCTATGTCAGTAGCCATCCTCGAGAAGTTGCTGGTTCTGCGCGAGGGGAAGAAGCACAAGGCCGAAGCTCGCCGTGATGAGAATATCCAGCGACAACATGAAGATGCTGTTACTCGCGAGTCCCGCTACCTCGCTGAAAAGGCGGAGGCCAGGGAGCGGTACAGCCACGACAGACATGAGATGGACGAACGCGCGTGGCGTGAAAACGAAGAATCGAGTGTGTGCACGCAGGATCTGGTCCTGCTGATAGGCAGTCTCATAAAGGCTAAGGCCGTATCTACCTTCTACAGACGCATTACGGACCCTAAAGAAAGGATGAAGCCTACACCACCATCCAAGAGCGCCCGTTGGCCGTTGTCCTAAACCAAGCGCTCTTTTACATTAAAATGACGTCGTACATGCATGTTAAAACGTTTTTTTTTCTTTCAATAGAGCAACATTAACATGAGAAACGACTGCGATCAACTACTAATGAATTGGATGCTCATTACAACAGCTAAAAGAGGCTTCCATTGCTCCAGAGAAGGCTGTACGGATCTGTGAAATACCTACCATGTGTACAGGTAGTTTACGAGTCGAACAATTGTTATGTCTTAATCTACGAAGCCTAGAGCTGTAAGGTAACGGAAGAGTGAGGTGGCTGTTTAGCGTTTGTAAATTACCCATGTCCCACTCGGCGGCTTGTCGTCCGGAGGTGATGGCGTTGTGGAGCGTCCGTGCCGAGATTCTGAATGCTGGCAAGATGTGCTCCAGGTCGCCGTCTTTGAGAGGTGTTAGCATGCGTCCCGTCATGGCGGCCCAGCAAGGGAAAGCGGAGTTCGAGTCCACGCTCATGGCTGTGTTAGGCCACAACACCGAGTCGACTAGCTCCACTCGGAACTTTAACAAGGTGCCCGAGTCGTTCCACGACCGGGACTTTTGTGCTTGCTCCATATGATGCAGCCGTCGGCCGCAAAACAGATCATATCCGTGACGAACACGGTGTACAACCAGCCGTTGTACATCGCATTCTGCAAGTCCGCGTTGGACAGCTGCAGAACCTACTGGAAAATTGACACAGCGCAAACAGATGTAGAAATATGGATAACCTAATTAATTGATTGGCATTGAGCGTATTGAACAAATTATACGTGTTACCTTCATATTCTACCCACCCAAAAATATGAATCTATGCGCTCACGAGATTTGACCAACTTTGCCAGCACAACCTGGCGAGCTGGTGAAGGCCACGAGCTCCTCGCTGGTGCGTACCCGACAAGCACTTCGGATAGTGTATCCTCTGTCCGTCGAAGTGTGCGGGAGACTGTGCTTGACGGAACGCCGAAGGGGTGATCTGCTCCATAGATCTGGCGTAGAAGATGAGCACTAGACCCACGATTTTAGTGGCGATTACGCAGTTTGGCCGGTCGCGTGAACGATCGTTGGGAGTAGTGTAGAAGCCGGAAAATCGGCGTACGAGTGGTTGAAGGTAGGCCTGCAGACGTGGACACTTTAGTTTAGCCAGTTAGACGAGCAATAGAGTATGGTATTCAATACGGTGTACCTTGTCAAACTAGTCTAGATGTTCAGGTCACTGCCGTATCAGTTCAGCGTCACCCACGCCGACTCGCCCGGTGCATTCAAGCATTGTGTCGTCAGGTAGTGGTAACAGCACATCACGGTGCGCCACGCCTCCTCAACCAGCAACTCGGACACTTCTCGTCGCACCTCCCTCAGCTCCGCCCCCTGTTGGAGTATGGCGTCCGTCACTACCAGTACCACGTCCATGTCTTCATCGTTCATTGCGCTCGACGCGCGCAATTCCGAAGTGAGGATATGTGGAAGGAGGTGGCGTGCCAAGTTGCCGACAAAGTGTAAAGTGTCGGGTACACTTCATTAGAGAGATCTGGCAACTGCCAGAATCCTAATCTGTTTCCAATTAGAAAAATGGGTTAAGTTTCAGATTCGGACTGGGAGTTCGATCATTTTGCAAATATTAATCCTATTCAGAATCGGAGACGAACCAAAACGTACGGCGGGCAAGATCTCTGGAAGGCAGAGTGATCACGACAGGAGGGGCTTGGCCTGCGCGGTTCTCACAGCACACCAAGGTGAGCAGTCATCACTATAACTAAAGGACCCCACTTGCTAGTTGGAGTATGATGTCATCAACGGGTCTTAGACTGTACGTATACTTATATAATACATATAACAAAAGTTAGCTGAATATTTTATAATATAAGTTATTCAGCTGTTACAGGTTGTTTGACCTTCCACTGTGCAAAACAACGCTAGGTTTGACTCGTGGGGAGATAGGGGGGAAGTTTCTACATCGTTTTTCTTCCAAAAGCGTGTCGGTTAGCACCGAACTTAGGTGCAGCACAGTCGTGGCCCACACCGACGTGCTGGGAGTCGTCTCGACTTAGTAATTTTATGTGTTCTACATCACTTCTGTTTAGGATTTTGTGTCCAGAATGACAATCGTAACTTTTGACTTCCAGGTTCAAATTCCTAATCGAGATTTCAAAATCAGGCCCATGTCTATTTTTTTGTTTCCAGTCTCGGAATCGGAATTGAAACCTGAAAGCTGTGAAAGTTATCTAATAATATAATATTTTGTTCTACAAATACCTGATTCAGGGCGGTACCAAAAGAGCACATAAAGCGGTTTAAGTTTATACAGACGAAGGTTTTTGCTTAAAGTTGTTATAACATATATCTTGAAAATCATCGTCATATCTGCAGCAGATATGTCACCTGATTAATGAATATTTGGATGGCAGCCAACAGCAAATCATCTGAGTAAATTTCAAAGGACAAAATGGCTGGAGCTCACAAAATGCCTACCGCTCTTTGTCTAGTGCCGACTGGAAAATTGTATGCACTCGCACCGACTCGCGTGAAATTGAGTGCCAATCAATACAGAGGCGAGCGGATGCGAGGTCGTGTAAGCTCGCGTAGGGTGACCGCAAATAAGGGCCGTGCGGTATTTCATAAACGCAACTACCGCATTAAAGAGGCAGGCCAGCACCTAGCTTTCCAGCAAGCCAAGCCTAGCATTCTCCAGACAAAATAATCTTCTTAAAACAAAGCTGTCTTTGCGATGCGCAGCGGGCAGATTCCAAAGATCCCAGTGAAATCCGTCCTCAGAGGACATTTTACCGCTATCAAAATGTGAGAGGGTAGGAGTCAAATCACTTTAGCCCTAAATCCTAGAAGGCAAGTCTAAAGCACACAGACAACCTATCGTGTACCCTACCCGCAGAACTCGGATAGATGCAGCACCCTTTTCTAATAAAAGTGTTCGAGCGTTGCATCTTTCCCACTAAGACAGCGATTTCATAAAGAGATTGTGTTTGATTTGGGAAACGATTTGCAAATTAAAAAAAATCGTTTAGATACAATTTGAAAGATAAGTAGTCGTTTTTTACCAATTAAAAAAATGATGATAAGCTTTCTTTTGGGATCTGCTGCTAGATAAATTTAACAAGTGCTGCATTTATCCGGGGGCTGCATGTATACGACCTTTAATACATGTAGCCCGGGCCGAAATATCGCCCTAATGGAGTACCGCACATGTACTGTTGTTGTTTGAAAATTTTATTTGTACGCTATTATGCCATATCTCTGAGAGTCTCTCAGATCACAGCAGTACTGTACGCTTTGAGTTTGTTTTCGCACGGGCGCTCCTTAGATTCTCCCGTTGTACAGTTTGCCGCCGTGGTATACAGTAGTCCACTGAAGCAGTAGCATAAAGACGATTGTACCCTGGTAATGGTACATGTACAGTTCTGAAAAAGTACCAGCACATGTCAAGCTTTCGTAAGACAGACTCTGCTGATTGGTCAAAAATATAGGCATGACTGCGGGACCATGACTGCCACTGTCGAAAACTCCAAGGCGAAGCGTTATGACCCAGGAGCAAACATCGACCGGGCCCAAGTACGTAGCTGGTAAACAAGTAAGTGTATTATGTGTCTTTACGAGCTCGCTTCCTTGGCTTAAATGGCAGTGCTCGTGCGTTTTCATTACTTGCGTGCTCAGTTTCTCTGACACGGCGAAGAAGTGGCGTGGTCTTCGGCTGTGACGGTCCCATACAGCGAGCACAAGCCCCAATCGCGAGATTCTTCACACCACCAATGAAGCGGCGTTATGCCTGCTCGATCATCGTGGTAGGAACTTCCTTACCTGTATTTGTCTCTATTGCCACAGATATTCGGCTCATCATCACTCTCCATTTTAAGTAAGTTTTTTGTTTTTACGTGCTGACAGGTCACTCGTGCTGATAGACCTGTATGGTAGTTGGCCCTCGCTGCTATTGCCGAACCACCAGAGGCCTCATGTCTGAAGCACATCTGTACTGGGAAATTCGAAAGTTTCTGGCAGCAAATGCAGCTTACCGTCGCTCGCTCAAAAATGTACCGTTTTATGACCGACAGGCTCTGTCCACTCCGGCGAGTCAGAGCTACTCGAGCCGCAGGTTTGCTCAGGGCCTTGCTCAATATTTGTTCTAGTTGTTGCTGTGCGATTCCAACTACCAAATTTGCCCTTTTCTTCCAGTTGTCGAGCGAGCCGAGCGACCAACCTGTCAGGAGGTGACATACCAGGTACTGTAGTTTGAATGTCTTTCTGCAGCCCAAACATTACTACTTATGGGGGTATTCCTGTAGCTTTCATCCAGGGTAAATCACCGTCTACTAACTGCTCTTGGAGCCGAGCACGCAATTCGTTAAGGCGAAAAACGGGTGTACCTCTCAGCGTGTGAGTGGCAGGTAGAACTGCTACCAAATAGTCGTGATGAAATACCAGAGAGGCCAGGCTAAGCTTCACGATTGGCTGCAAGGTGACATTACTGGATAATGTCGGGAATATAACCTGAATACCTTTCACAATATCAACATTGTCGCGATCCTTAAAATGAGGTGGTAAAAGTGCGAATTGCGCACTTTTAAGAGGAGATTTGCCACGACTCTTCCCAAACTGGTCACATGTTGCTTCGTACCGGAGTAGCGGTCTTGCACTCCTCCAAGCGACCACCCACAGCGCAGACACACGCTGACAATTGAGGGACCCCGGTACTACCATTACATTCAAATATTGCAACGCCCTTGCGTACCAAATGCGTTCCGTAGGTCTTCTTGTCGGCAGGCTGATCTAGCGCCCTAGCAAACGTCTTACGAAATCTATTTCGCTATAGTGATCCAGGAAATAGTGGACCCACATCTTGGCGAGGACAGCAAGACCGGTAAATACCTAGAGCAGTATCTAGCGTGTCCACGGCGATAAAGGGTTTGTGTAGATATATGCTGAGGGTCATTAGGTCCAGCACCATCTTGATTCGTTTTGCTCTTGTGAAAATGCAACTTCAAAACTGTTGTCCTGGTTGCTGAAGTGCCTGGAGTTGATTGTTCCGACAGACTGCGCGCGACACATAAGATTCCACTGCAGCGCTGGGAGAACCCACCATCCGATATTACCTTGCATACGCTCTCGTATACAGAGTAGGGTTAAACCATTTCCCCGGAATTCCTAGCGTCTCCAGCTCCATGCTGACTGCGGAAAGCTTCAACTCTCTTACGACCAGCAAAAAATAATTTTAACCCCTCTGTTACCAACGTCGTAAGTTACGACTTTGAGTAGGGCGAAAGTCGTAACTTACGACGTAATTCGAGCCTTCAAACAGAAAATGGCTCGAAAAAAGAGGACACAATACTTTAACCAAGTCAAAGTCTGGAGGCAAATTATATAAGCTGAAAGAGGTCGATTCGGCAAATGTAAAAGAAAGGGTGGGGGAAGGGTAGATGTGCTGCACCGAACAGAATGATGAGTGGCCGAGAGCGCCGACTCGAGCCACTGGTATCTCATTCAAGAACTTTCCACCATGGCGAGAGTTCGATCAAGTACGCGGACAAAGCAATCAGCAGTTGCCAGCACGATGGACGTGCGTGCCATCGACTTCAAGCATCTCTGGCGGCAGCTACGCGCAGTGGGATGGACGTCGAAGAGACCTTCCGGTGGACTTGCGAAGGAGTGGACGTACACGTCGCCGGACGGGAAGTCGCTTACTTGTGCGAAGCTCGTATATGGTTATGTGCTTCATTTGTCTAATTTATATCACTTGTCTAGGGGAGGATGCTGTGGTGGCTTATGCAATCGAGACTGGGCTTATTGCTGAAGAGAGTGGCGACAGTGAGAGGGAGGTGGGCAGTGATGAGGTCGTGCCGGTGGACGTTACAGTGACGGCGTCACAGATAGACACATCCATCGCGCTGTCGGCCAACACCTTATCGGCGATGTTTGGCACGGACAGTGACCCCCGGTCGGAAGCGGAGGATCAGTTGGAGCAGTCGGATCGAGAGATGGTCGTGGGGGCGTTCCAGCGACTCCTGTCAGGCGCCGAGTCGAGCAATTCGGACGACAACGATGATGATTGCGCCAGAGTGGAGGAGGAAGGCGCAAGTGTGTGTGGAGGTGAGACTGTGGAGGATGACTGCCGTGTGGCACTGCTGGTAACCGACGTGAATGTTATGGGCGATGGAGATCTTTCGGATGAATACGAGGCCGTCGATTCTAGTGGCAGCGACAGCAGCGACAATAGTGGCGACGATATCATCGTGAGGCGTGAGTACCCCGACGACACACTTGAGGACGATGAAGACGTTGCTCTGATGGACGACGCATTTGTCGAGGCGTTAGGTGGCAAATTAACACTGGAGTCGATCGACAAGGCCGCACTCCGGAGCTTTGAGTGGAGTCCTTCTTCGTCCATCTTCGAAGCTGACAGTGGAGGGTACCCTCGCCTGTCTACGGACGTCGCCGTACCGATCAGGGAGCTACAGGACATTGCGGATTCTCCCTTGCTGCTTCTATTTTACTTCCTACAAAAATCACTGTGGCTTACCATCACCAAGGAGACAAATCGCTATAAGAAGCAGACAGTACACGCCAGAGCTAAGCGAATCCGACAGAAGCAAAGGAAACGCACTGTACCAGCCCCCGAGACTGTTAAGTAGATTGAAAGGCGATTGCGCGTCGAGGCTGCGTACGAAACTCATGAGATACTCAACGTCATTGGGCTCTTAGTGGCAAGAATGCTGAACCCAATGACGCGTCGCTTTTCTCGGCATTGGTCAATGACCGAAGACGGTGCAATACCTGCCGGAAACGTTGGCAAGTTCATGGCTCGAAACTCATGAGATACTCCACGTCATTGGGCTCTTAGTGGCAAGAATGCTGAACCCAATGACGCGTCGCTTTTCTCGGCATTGGTCAATGACCGAAGACGGTGCAATACCTGCCGGAAACTTTGGCAAGTTCATGGCTCGAAACCGCTGCACATCAATTCTTCGAGACTTCTATGTCGTGAACAACGAAGCCCCACGGATTCGAGACAAATTGTGGAAGTTCCGGCCTGTTGTCGACACGTTGCAAACTTGGTTTCGATCTGGCTGGTCACTAGGCAGTAAGTTCTCGTTTGACGAAGGCGTACTACCAGCCACGTCCAAGCGCAACACCACGCGGATGTTTATGCCCGACAAGCCCCATCGATACGGAACCAAGTTGTTTATGACTTGCGATTCTGTGAGTGCATACTGCCACCGGTAAGTTTGTTTCGTTTAAAAATTATGTCGTAACTTACGGCTTGAATTGTAATACGATATTTATTACGTCGTAACTTACTACTATAGATTCGAGGTGTACGTCGGAAAGCGTGAGACCGAGGATGGTGATCAGCAAGCAGTCGACGACAAGACGGGGGCTGCTGCAGTTATTCGAAACATGAAAGCCGTCCTGGGAGATCGATCACAAGGGTTTCGATTGGTAGTGATCGATCAATTTTACTCGTCTATCCCACTGGCTATTCAGCTTCTATCGATGGGTATCTACGTGGTGGGAACGATCATGGTCAACAGACTGGGGTTCGACAAGCAAGTTATTGAGAAGCGTAAAACACGTCCTCGAGCGATTGAGCGTGGTACTTTTGCGTTCTCTCGCTCCACTGCTATACCGACCATGATAGCTTGCCACTGGTGGGACCGAAAGCCGGTCCACTACCTGGCCACGGGTCCGGTCATGGCAGAGGACTCTATTCGTCGTAACGTCAAGATGGTCGGGCCGTCTTGCGTCAAATGCTCAAAGTTAGTTACTGATTACCAACACTGGATGGGCGGAGTTGATGTACATGATCAACTTCGCCTGCAGTCCTATTCAATCCAAACGGCTTTTCGTTTCAGGAAGTATTACAAGTCACTGTTCATGGGTTTCATGGACATGGCACTCGTCAATGCGTATCTCACACATAAGGAAACATGCCGGATCAAGAGGCTGGTACCAAAAGATCGTGGAGAATGGTATCTTCTACTTCATAAGCAATTGATGCAACTCAATGCCGACGACTTCATTGAAGCTACTGCTCCTACACCTTCTCCTATGGCTCGCTCTCGCAAGCGCCGCCGACTAGACGGTCACAAACACATCCAGTTTAACGACTGGGTCACCGTTTCAGGCACCCAAAAGCGCCGGCAACGCTCTTGCAAAGTATGCGCTCTTCTACGAGGCGATCGAAAAAAATCCTTTCAAACGATCTATTATTGTGAGGATTGCTCACACGCAGACGCAAAGTGCTTCCTCTGCCCCAAGTCGCGCCATAGCTACGGAGGCGTGCGCAAAACATGCTATCAGATTTGGCACGAAGACTTTGACAGTGGGGCTTCCATCCCAGCATCGCTCGGCAAGCGAGTCGTCTTGCGACGATCAGCCAAGGCTGGTACTCGAAAACCAACTCGGCGTGAGCTGCTCTGTCAACAAGACGGCGAGGCCGACAATGAAGAGGATCAGCCAGCTCAGCAATCGGCAATCGTTTGAATGCGTTTGGACAGCACTTAGTTTATGTAAATGTAGCTCTTTCTCTGTTGTACGAGGATCTCTACGGATGTGTAAATAGGCATCTGCTTCGACAAAAACAATACTTGAACGTCGTAAGTTATTGCTTTTCGTGATACGACGTGCTCATAATGTCGTAACTCATACGACGTAGCTCAGAATATCCTCTGACAGTTTATAGCGGGAATCCAGTGTGGAAAAGACACATTCATACAAATAAATATACTAAAATAAAGTCGTAACTTACGACGTAAAATAGGCGGTTCCAACACGGATCTTCTGGTAACTGAGGGGTTAAGTCGTCTGCATACTCCGCTGACAATGGCACTAGTCTCTGTCTATAAATGTTCTTTATAGCACTTCTATATCCTCTAAGCGTCGTGACCTTTAGGCATCGAATAGGGTCGCTCATCTTAGTCAGTAAAAACCCTTCGAAGTGCTCTGGAGTAAACATGTCCATATTGAGCTGTCCCTTAAGCTTCACCTCTCTCACGAGTAAGCATTCCGGCTGATCCTGCGATGTTCTAATTCAGGATTTGGTGCCACGGCGGTAGCTTTGATATGCTATTTGGGTCCTTGACGACGTGCAAGCCGGCCGAGCGTTGTCAGCGCACAGGCCGCCACCTTGGACATTAGCTGCGTTGAGGGTAGCCGCTGAGGTGCCAGTAGTAGCGCTAGGGGTACCACTCGTAGCTGAGTGTAACGGGGTACGTAGCCCTAAGTGTACCCTGGCTACATGAAGTGTGACACTTCACACTTCAGGTGTATGACACGTCATACACCGGGATATTTGGTACAAGGTACCAAGGTCGTTCAAAGACAACCATTGGACAAACGACATTGCATTTCTACAGGTAACTTATAGTATGTATTAAACCCAAACTTAACCTACCTATAAATATACTCAGTTTACAATCTACCTTATTTAGGTCACTTCGCTCTCTTTAACTAAAGAGGGGACCTGTGAACTGCCGTTCACTGAGAGTTTGTATACTCTCGGAAGATAACTTCCTCTAGCGCAAGGTGCTGTGTGACCCCGTCACACTTGGTAGCACTCGTAGTCAATCCACGCCACCGCGGGTAGACTACCTGAACCTCTCCGAAGCTCGTTGCCATGGATAGGAACGACTTCTCCCATATGAACGACTCTCAGTTCGAGTCGGTTCGGAAGATGGCAGGCATCTTCGGGATGGAGGCCCTGCAGAGCCTGGTGGTGTCAACACCGGCTGAGCAGCTCGAGCGCGTCAATGCATTCGACGCGTACGAGCAGGGCCTCATCGCGCATGTGCGGGAGAACCTGCAGGCTCCGGCGGCGGAAGCAAATCCGCCTCACCCGAAGCCAATACGGCTGAAGGTTAAGTCGTATGAAGGGAAGGAAGGCGAGAACCTTCACTTCTGGGTCCGAGAAGTAGAGCTCGCGATGGACGCGGCTCTGATCTCGACCGAGCAACTGCGTGTTGCTTTTGCACTCTCCAACCTTAGCGGCCGTGCTAAGAGTTGGGTGAGCACACGGGAAGCAACATCCCCTGGATGTTTCACATCCTGGGCTCAGCTGTGCGAACAGCTCCGAGCCGCGTTCCTCCCGGCGAACTACGAGTACCGCCAGCGTTCGCGCTTCCTCGCGTGTAAACAAGAAAAGGCGCGAGCTGCACGAGTATGTGCAAG